TTATTATGATTGAAGGAAATTAATTTTGGGACCTGTGTAAGTATCCAATGACATATAATTTTATAATCCCACCAACCCATTTAGTCATTCATAATCACTATCACCACATGATGAACAAATTACATTATGACGTAGTTATGATCGTTGAAAATCTCTTTTTACTTGAAATAAACAAATAAAAAAAAGAAAAATGTCCTTTCAAATTTAAGTCAAAATTATATTGTCGTTCTCAGTATTTACGAATAGCTTTTGGTTTCAAATAAAAAAAAATAATGATAACGGGTTCATTTTAAGTTGCCAAATACACCTTACATTGAATGAGCAAGAGATTCGAATAAGTTTTCAATCAAGGTACTTTTGAGAAATTCAATCATCATGCACGGATTTTAATGGCCAAGTTTAATAAATATGTAAATATGTTTATTATTGAAAAATAAAATTAATTGCAAAATTTTTCGTAAATGAAAAAATTGGTTGTTAATTTAAGAAATTTTTATCCGAGGATTGAATTTATTGCATTTATATCGCTGTAGAGATTTTTAAGAAAAGATAATTTTAGAAATGATACTTACGAAATGAATAAACGTTAAATTACGTCCGTTTTCCTTTCTATATGTTTAATAATTTTAGCAGGATTACCGGCGACGACTACATATGACGGAACACTTTTAGTAACCTTATTAAAAAAGAATTAAATTTTTATTAGCATATGTGAAACATAGTCTTGTTTCAATTTGTATCTGTATTCTAATACATTACCACAGAACCCGCGCCAACAGTAACCTAAATTCCATATAAATAAAGAGGAGGATTGGATTGCACTTAGAAGCGTACAAATCAAAGGTAATTTGAAACCTACATCATATCATATAGAAAAAATATTCACATACCCCATCCCCGATGGTAACTCCAGGACAAATAATAACGCCACCACCAATCCATACATCATTTCCTATCTAATTTTTTTTTTTTTTTTTTTTAAAAAAAAAAAAAAGTGAATAAAAATTAATATCAAATTTTAAGAATAAGTTCGCCAATGTTTTATACCTTTATGGGAAAAGCTAATTCAGGACCTTTAGCCCTTTCTTCAGGCTCTATAGGATGAGTTGCGGGATAAAGGGAAACATTTGGACCAAATAAAACACGATCTCCAATTTCGACTTTATTACAATCCAATATTGTACAATTAAAATTACAATAAAAATTGTCCCCAACATAAATATTGTATCCCTAAATTCACATAATATCAAAGTTAACCACTTATTTCCCACGGATGATATGAATGATAATAAACTAAAAACTTACATAATCACAATAGAATGGCGGTTCAACTTCAACATTCTCACCAGCACTACCAAATAATTGCCGTATCATTTTTTCTCTACCTTCACGATATTCAACAGTACCAACACGAGCTGGTTTGGAATTATTATATTCATAAAGGATTTCTCTGGTTTTTAATCGATCATTAATTAATTCTTCGGAATAAGCCAAATATGGAAGTCCTGCAAGTGCCTTTTCTCTTTCACTTTGCATATTTTCTCTCGAGCTATTTGTTTCAGACATTTTGGTTTTGAAAGTAAGAATGTTTGATTTAAACAAAGGTTTTTTTTTCCTTAGCTTTTATATAAGGAATTTCTTATAAGAACACGCCTGAATAGCTTCCACGTATACACACATGAACATCCGAAATCATTGGCTGATCATTTAATTAAACGAAGTATTTTTTTTTTATTCATGAATGAAATGATTATTGAAGGATAATTCGGTTAAATTTTATTCTAATTTTAGATTCAAATACAAGATTATGCACTGCAAAATGTCATTATTATATTAGGCGCAGTATCATTTTCAAAAAATTTTGTAATTATTTTTTAAATGGACTTTTTATTTAAACTATTACAAAGATATAAAAATAATTGTTCATTTCTCTTTTCAGTTGACAATCACTTTAATAAATTGAAATATAATGATGAAAAATTATTAAATCTTTATGATATTCAAAATCTGAAGTGTTAAAATTGAAATGCCATTTGAAACAAAACGTGCATATGGCATTGAAGTATGCATTAAGAATCAAGAATGGTGTTAAATATTATATTTGTATTAAAAATTCTTAAATTAATAAAATTTTCAGCTCATTGGATACTTTTCAAGTATGGGTTAAGGATTGGGATTAAAAGTTTATTAGAGATTAATTAATTTATAATAAAAGTAAAAATGGAAAATCAGATTCTGAAAATTTTTAAAAATATATTGATAAGATCTTTAATTTAATTAAAAAAATTCTTAAAACCTGATTTTCCTATCCATCTTTTCAAATTACTTTTATACAAATATTTATTTTAAATTAATATTTTAAATATTTTGAAATATAATCCTACATGTAAAAAAGTATAAACCTATATGCAATTATAAACATTACAGTTAACTCCTTTTATAACGAATTTTGATATAACAAATTTCACAATACATATATTTAGTAACACAGATTTTATAATAAAGAAAAGTTTTATTATACCAAATTTACTAGTTAAATACTGTATAATACTTAATGAAATAAAGTATATAAACATAAATATATAAATGATTCTTTTTATATTTATTTATAACAAATTTTTTTTATATAATGAAGAATTTTTTCAAAAATGTAAAAATTAATTTTTTTAAAAAATAAATAAATTTAATTATAAAGAATAATTTAAATATTTAATATTTATTTCTTTTTCAAATATAATAAATATATTGTACATTTTTTTTAAGATACCAAGTGTTCTATTATATTTTTTCATTACATAATTTATTTCAATACAAAAACTAAATCAATTTTAATTTTATCTAAAACTTCTAAAAAGTTTTAAAAAAAAAAATCTAGCTTATAAATAAGGTTACTTATCTAAACTTATTTTAAATTTGGTAAAACGTTTAAACTATAGTTTCACCAAATTTTTTACTAAAATTTTGATATAGTTTCACATTTTTATAAGCTTTGATATAGTTTTACTTTTTCTAGAATTTTGCAGATTTTTTAATAAGGTTTTAATATAATTTTGCTAAATTTTACCTTTTTTCATTTAAACAATTTGCAAAATCCTTAGATTTTGTCTAGTAACCTTACTTACGAGTATAATATTAATAAAGAATAATTTATAATATTTTAAAAATAAAAGACTATCAGATTATTATAGATCTTAATATATATTAAGTTAATTTAAAATATGAAAAAATATTTTTTTCTTATTATTAAAGAAGTATTAACCATTTAAATAGAAAATGTTTTCAAGTTAACTTTATTATGATAATATTCTTTTAATTAAAATTTTAAAGTTTGCTTTTTTACTTAAAGAAAATAAGTTTAAAAATTTATAAGTAAATAGACAATTTCAAAATACAGTATAATTTAAAATAATATTATATATATAGTGAAACTGTAAATATATTATTTGAAGAATTT